CCTCTTTAACTCACTGAAGCAAGCTTTGCTGACTAATGTTGTTGCGCAGTGCTCGCGAAGGCATCAATCTGTGAAACTGGTATCCTTTAAGGACTGCTGGGCAGTGGAGAAACCGAGAGCTCTGAAGTGGGAGAGAACTCTGAAGGCTGCCAGCTCAGATGTTAACAAGTAGCACGCCTTGGAGATGTGCCTGATGTGAATGCTGCACCCTTGTTTACAGGGCTTGGACTGATTTTTGGAATAATGATTTAGCAAATCTGCTGCATAATCTGGAAGTAAATCAATGGGCTGTATTAACCTAGACCTCAGTCCTGTGAAGGACTTCTGTATGTTTTCCACAGATGGCTCCTTGCACATAAGTAAGGTTGGCAGAGCTGGGGGTTACCCTCTGCTGGGGTTGCATTACTAGTTAAGGCAGCATCTTCTCAGCAACTAAGATCTGAAACCATTCTCAAGTTTACAGCATCTGAACACTGGGATTTCTGATACTGTTGATAAGCAAATGCTGTTAGTATACAGCTGCTGTTATTTTTTTGAGCTTGCCTTAAGGTAACAGTTTTTGAAGCTGCTTGGCATTTCTGTTGCTCATGCCTTGGTGTTTTCCACTGAAGCTGGAATCTTTGTTATTCTTTGGATACCTGTCTACCAGGAAGAACTCGCTATACAACTTGCGTGCAGCAGAATTTGGAAAGCTGCTTTGAGGCAGTGACAAAGATATCTCATCAGAATGAGGAAAAGGTGGCATGGCAGACCACAGAGGACCGTTTGCCCTCACTTGGAAATAGTTGCTCCCTTGGAGGTGATGTTTTCCTCACCTCCTCACACAAAACAGCCCAGTAATTGGCACGCAGATTTTTCTTCATTAAACAGCGAAGCATTGTGTGAGAGGTGCTACGAAATCTCCCTGCTCTTACTGAGGTTTGGAGCGCCTCCAAGGAGGAGCGTTCACCTAAACTGCCATATAAACTTCTGCTCTGAATGTGACCTGGCAGTGCCTTTAAACGGGGGAACACCAGTGATCTAACTCCATGAGTGCAGATCTTGGTCATCATCAGTAATTCTCTACTCTTCTGAATAATCATCAAGCATTGCTGATAAGCCAGATGTGATGCAAAGGTGATAAATGGGGTGAAAAGCAAACCAGCTGAAATGTGGATGGATGGTGCAAATCCCTAGCTAGCAGGAAGGAAGGTGTTGCATGTGGTGCCTCTTTTGCTTTCCAAATTGGGTATAAACAAACTTGTCACTTGATCAAAGTTCAAATTTTGGCTTTGATAGTGCCTTTATTTCAGGTACCTGAGAATACATAGAAGGATTAGATAAAGTAAAAACGTCTAGCTGCTTTGTTGCTGGAACATGGATGTTGTTTTGAAATATGATGGATTGAGGGCAAAGGAGTGCAGGAAAGCAGGACATTCTTCAAGAAGGTAGTCTGAAAGGTGCAGGAGCAGGCTGTCGCCATGTGCTGGAAGATGAGCTGGTGGGAAAATGACTGGCCTGGCTGAACACAGAGCTTTGGCTAGAATTTGGGGTGGTGGGTGGGGAACCTCTGTGCGTTTGACTTTTGGAAGAAGGAGCAGGCAACCTCAGGAGGGACAAGGATGTCATGAGGTTATACACAGAAAATTAGAAGGGCCAAAGCCCAGCTAGAACTTAATCTGGCTACTGCCATAGAAGATGACAAAAAATGTTTCTGTAAATACATTAACAACAAAAGGAGGGCTAAGGAGAATCATCATCCTTTACTGGATGTGGGGGAAACAAAGGCTGAGGAAAAGGCTGAGGTACTTTTAATGCCGCCTTTGCCTCAGTCATTAATAGTAAGACTAGATGTTTTCTAGGTACCCAGCCAGTTAGCAGGAAAACGGGGACAGGAAACAGAATCAAGTCCGCATAATCCAAGAAGAAACAGTCAGTGACCTGCTATACCTCTTAGACACATGCAAGTCTATGGGGCTGGATGGGATCCATGCAAGGGTGCTGAGGGAGCTGTTGTAAGTTCTCACAAAGCCACTTTCTACTAGCAGTTCTGGCTAACTGGGGAGGTCCCAGTGGACCGAAAGTTTGAAAATGTGATGCCCATCTATGAGAAGGGCCAGGAGGAGCTTCTGGGGAAGTACAGGCCTGTCAGTCTGACTTCAGTGCTGGGGAAGGTTATGGAGTAGATCATCTGAGTGCCATCATGTGGCATGTACAGGACAACCAGGTGCTCAGGCCCAGCCAGTTTTGTCAGTGATCTGGATGAGGGAATTGAGTGCATCCTCAGTAAGTTTGCAGACAACACCATGTTGGGTGGGAGTGTGGATAGGAAGGCTCTGCAGCAGGATCTGGGCAGGCTCGATGCATGCTTAAATCTCCTGGGAGATCTGGCACCAAAAGTAAAACTGCCTCAACTGTTGACTTGTGGAGCACAAGCAAGTCAACTGTCCTCTGGAATGCTCTGTGCATCCTTTGTACATGGTGCCACACTGGTGTCAAGCTGGTGGTGGTGCTCCCAGCTCCTGGGAAGACAGGGGCAGAAGGGCAAAGGGAACTATTGTCTCTGGTCTCTCTCTTTGCCCCTGTCCCTGCTTTCTCCCAGGTGCTGTACTGTAGCTTTCTGGAGTTAGATGAACCTGTGGACCTGAAGTCAGACTACCTTGGATTTTGAATGTACTTTTCTGAATAGATAAATGCATCCAGCAGAAGAAACTTGAGTTACATGACCCTGCAGTTTGTCTGCTTTGGGAAGAGTCCATCGTCTCCTCTGTATAGCAAAGTGTCAAAAGATACAGCAGTGCAGTAGGTCGTTGCAACCTTAGGAGCATTACAAAGGCATGTCTCAATAGCTTGTGTCCTCATGGCTTCTGCTGAGGCTCTAACTTTGTGACGCTGTTTAGGACAAACGCGTAAGTTCCTGTAGCAAGAGCGTGGTGAAGGGTGTGCTGCTTGCTCTTTCTGAGCACCAAACAAACTGTTCTCCCAGGTTTTTGCAAAGCAAAAGGTGGCAGTGCTAAGTTTTGCTTACCTGTTTGAGAGTATTTGGAAGATGAAGACTTATTTGCTCAGCTAGTGTAAATGGCTGAGACCATTAGCCAAGTATGTTCTTACTCTTCTGTGTAATAAGTGACTTGCCTGTTTACAGAGATTTTAATTTGTTGAATACAGTGGTTCAAGTCTGGGTAGAGAATGATTGTGTCAATGTACTTGCCAGTCCGCCTGTAGCTCCAAATCCATTTAACAGAAAAAATAGAGGTATTGTGCATGTTTTATTCCTTGAACAATGTTTTGTTTTGGTATTTCCCAGAACTTGTATGGCCATAGCACTGCTGAGGATGATGTGTAGCTGGAAAGTACTGAGTTACCCTACAAGTAAAATTAGTTCCTGGAACAGCTATTGCCTTAGCAGCAGAACTGAGAAAAGAAGTGAATATATTTAAGACCTGATATAGTAAGCAGTCTTGGCTGCTTCTGGGAAGTTATGTGGTGAAGACAATGCCAGGAGTCAGGATACTGACTCTTCGAAAGGGAACTGCATCTGTAAATGCCCCACAGATCTGACAGAGGGAAGAGGTGGAAACTGCATGGTTAAGCATTAGTCTGTGTCCTTTCTTTGCAGACCAGCAAGGACCATCTGTTTGGGCCTTTCATACTGCCTAAGGACTGGAGAGTGAGTTGTTAAGGTTTGAACAGGATAGTCCTGATCTTTTGATAAGAGCTCATTTCTACCAGTTCACCTGTCTGTCTTGGAAATGCCTGTTGTAATCCTATTTCTAGGAATATTGTGGGAGAGGAATTAATGTGCATAACACGGAGCCACAAAGTCAGTCTTCTTTGAGCCTTCCATCCCTTTACAAAACTGCCACGTAGGGAAGGGAAGGATTCAGGCCAGAAGGGTTCCTCTATTATCATGGCCAGGCTTTAGGGTGGCAGAGGGGTTGTAATCGTTAACCCAGTAAAAATGAAGCCTCATGTGGGAGGTAGAAGAGCTATTTAAAAGCACTGTGTGGAACTGAGTCAGCTGAAGGTCAAAAAGCCTTTTGGCCTGAGAACAGGTTAAACTGGCTCCAGCCTCACTGGGGCTGGAAATGGGAGGAAGTCTCCTGATGGGTGTGCAGGGAGCAGAGCTGATGGGAAGCTTTGACACTTGTTGGAGAGCAGAGCTTACTTATGACCTGTTTCAGTCTTATTCTCCCAACTCACCCACTAGAGAAGAGCAGGTTAACCCCAGTGAGCTGGCAGCCCTTTCCAATGGCAGGGGGAAAGGGGTCTCTGCAGCTGTACACCAGATCCAGTGATTTGGCCCATTTCTCTGCTGCTCAGAGCCCTAAAATGCCAAGAAATGAGCAGTTACAGAGTCAGTGGAAATTTCAGTTTTGTTCAGCTTGGAAAAATCGTGTGTGCAATCCTCTTTGGACTGAGATCGAACCTAAATGAGACTTCCTGTGACTGCAAATGCTGTTTTGGTTTTTAGTGGAGTTAGCTGCACACAGGCCAGTTAGGACTTTTTTTTTTTGCTTCTGTATGGTGAAACTTCTCTGAAAGAAGACAAGCTGAGTTGTGATGTCTGTTGACTCTGTGAACACATGCTGCGTGCTCAGGGGCTGTTGTCTGGCTCAGCTCCCGGAGCTTCCAATGCAGCTGTGACTCAGTGGCTGGTGTGCAAGTAGCAAGGCTGATGGAGGCCTATTGGGCTCTTACTCACTGTGTATCTGAACTGGAACTGAAACATCTGTGAAGCACTCAGTTGGCTCTCTGAAGACTGGCAAGCAGACTTGGGAAGTGCTGACTAGCACTGAGTGGATTCTTTTGGTTATTTAATACACTGAGGCAGTGTTTCTCTGAAGAACTGTGTATGGGTTTGTGAACACATCTGAGGAAGATGGGTGGTGATTACCTGGTGAAGATATTCTTTGAAAATCACAACCTGTTCGATTAACTGTTGCTTTGTTAGGAGATTTTTTTCCGTAGGTGAATACTACATTTGTGAAATTAATGTTTTCTTTTTCTTCAACAGTGGGCCACTAGACGGATAGAAAAAGGTGTCAAAAAGCCACAACCACAGATGCTAAAGACTCCTGCTGCTAATGGTGAGAACTTGGGGCAAGGTCAAATTGATAAGGCTAGTGTTCTAAAGTAGAATTGAGTCCTTTTCAAATGGAGAAGTTAGATGTGTGCATGAGAGAACTGGAGGAGAGGTGGGGTGGTTACAAGCTAAATATTTCGTCTAGTTGTTTTGCAATGCTACTGGCACAAGAACTGTTCCTGCAGAATGAAATGCTTCTTTTACTGGCTTGTACTGAATGGTTGAAAAATCAGGGGATGAGGAAATGAAGGGTATGAAATAGCATTAAGTTTAACAAAACAAAGTAGAGCCTAAGATGGAGACTGTCCTCAGTTGAGGGACATTTTCAAGTTACAATATGAGCTTGATTCTTTTTTTGTTTTGAAATCTGTCTAGGTCACTGCTTGCAGGGCTACTGGCCAACTGTTGCAGTCATCAGAGTACATTTAACATTTTCTCCAAGGAGATCTGAATGTTCAGTGGACAGCGCTTTCCTTTCCCAGACTCAGTGCTTTCTCTGTAGTAGGACTGCTGGATGGACGTGTGCGGTGCTATACTTGTTCCCTTTTTTTCAGCCTGCTGCTATTCACCTTTTGCCTCTTGGAGTTACCTCAGTGTTTGCCAGATGAAAGTCTTGCACTCTTGATCTGTAGAAAGACAGCTGAAGGCTTGCTTCATATTTCTTCCTTTAGCCTAATTTTGAAATGAGGTCTTTTACTATAACTTAACCCATGCTGTATGTGTGTCATGGTGTGCTGCACTGCAGCTCTTAAAACAGTTTAAAATTTGTCATACTTACTTTTTCTCAGTTGCTTTAAAGTGAGCAATTATGTCCCATATTGCCAGTGTCCTGCAAGTTGTGGGGGTTTTCTTGGGGCTGGGAGAAAACAAGGTGAGTGATCCTTCCAAATAATGTCAGTGCCCTGCTATCTGTTTCACAGGTTGTCAGTGATGCAGCAAGGTATCAGTTTTCTTCCTGTAAGGGTGATAGTGTCCCATCATGTCCTGGGTCAGTGAGGGGGCAAGAGATCCAACTGTGCTGCTTTAGCTGCATAGCTAGAGCTTTTTGTCTTCTTCGACATCTGATCTTTCTGGCACATAGTTTCTTCTTTAGAAAAGAAAGCTAAAGGGAGAGAGGACCTGCCTAGTAGATTATGTTCTATGAGCTGTCTTTCCATAAAATGATGAGTACCTATTCCCCCTGTATGTGTGACCGAGGGGTGTATGGTGTTAGTATGTGCTGTAGTTTGGAATCTGGACTAGACTGAGTGTACTCCACTGCCTGGAGCATTAGTGAAAGTAAAAATGGCCTGAGGTAATTCATACAGATGATTGGATGCAGGCTGTTCAAGTGGTCTTATGATTGTGAATACACAATCATACTGGTGGCCTGAAGCACAATTTTTAATGTCCTTTTTATAGTTAAAATTAAAACCTTTTCCCACTGTAGGTGGCTGTTGGAGTCTTGCTTACTTGAGAAATTGAGAGGTGGGGGAGATGTGGAATCTGCAGTGACAAACTGTGCTGTGTGTATTGCTCTTCAGAATATTTTAAGTATAGGGCTGACTGACTTGTGATTAGGAGTCTGGGTTCCTGTATGTGGATGGAAGTATTTGTGGGTCAGGGCAGGTGTAGGTCTAACAGTGCAGTATATAAGTTAGCGTTCTCCTGAGCTGACAGAATATGAGCAGGAGGAGAGGCCTAGTTGTATTACACAATATTTGCTGAGGGAGGAGATATTCCTGGTGATAATAAATTATGGAGTAGCTGATTAAAACAGGGTAAAGGTAAGTGTCTATCTGTGTGTATGCATATGCATGCTAAGTGCTGAAGGGCAATGTGTAGAACCTCTTCCATCCTTCCTCACTAGGAGGTGGATCAGGATAGAAGCGAGCACTGCAGATGCAAGGTCAAGTTTTCTTGTTTCCAGGCAGAACAAAAATAGTCTTTCCCAAAGACTTAAAAATCCAATGTCCTTCCAGGAAAGGTGAGAGAGCATGACTGAGGAGACACCACTTTGCAGTACCGAATCCAGTGTATTTCATATCTGTTGGCAGAAATGGCAGCCAGTGCTGCTGTGTTAGTGGTGTAATAAGACATAGTTCCAAGAAAAATGTTGGCTGGTGTGGCTGCTGTGTGGGGAATGACTCTGGTGCTGTCACCTCAATGTTCCACTGTTAGGGACAGTGTGTTTATGTGTCAGGCCCAATGGTAGCTCTTGGCTGAGCAGATACTTGGAGGCTAGATACTTATCTCATTGTAGCTGAATAACCAGCTCTCAACTGTCAGTGTGGGTGTTGGCTGTGTCAAAAGTCAGTCCTCTTCAAGTTGGTGGGTTTAAAAAATGCAAAAATGCTGTTAAGTCAGAGTTTGAAAGTGACATACACTAAAAGAAAAGCTTAAGCAAGTAATATGACTGTTAAGTAGGTAATGTCAAATTTGAGCCAGGTATAATTAGCTGACTACAGTGTGTGAGCTCAAAGGTTTGAGGCTTGTGCAGTGACACTGAGTAAAGTAGCAGCTATGGCTTTTTTTTGGTTGAGAGTGATGTTTGCTGAACTTCTGCATAATGCTGCCTTTTAGCCGTCTTTGGCAAACCCAGTTCTGCCTGTGGCCAAGGGATTAAAGGCCATTAAATGTTACTTCTGATTACAAGAAGGCTAAGTACATTGCCTGAGCCACATGTGCTTAGTTCTATTCATAATACCTTCAGGTGTCTCTGGGATCTTGGCTTGGAGTAGCTTGTCCCAAGGCCGCAAGCCAGCTTGCGCATGGAGGTGTCATGTGACAATGACAGCGCAGGCTGGTGAGGTAAGACTTTATAGCTGTGCTATCTTGGCTGTGCCAGCAGTGTGTTAAACCTGAGCCCTGGGCTGTCTTCAGCCAAGAAGTAGGAGCCAGCAGAGCCAACTTCTTGGCCTATGCTGAACCAGAGGCTGTATATGGAAGAAGCATTCCCAGTTCTCCTGGGAACTGGAGAGAAGAGAGTCACTTGTGTGATGGGTGCTGGAGAGTTCTGCTATCTGGTTTCTTGGCTACCACCTGTCTGCCACCCTAACAGCAGTATGGAGAAGATGGATTGGGCTGGCTTGTCTATAGTCCTGGATGTTTCACAGCTTAGAGGTTTAAGGGAATGAAAGAGAGGAAAATGGAACCACAGACCAGAGCTCTCCTTTGGGTTTAAAATATGACACAGGTTGGGTGTGCCATATTAATGATTTTTATTTATAGGTGAGCGACAGGACAATTCACTGAGTTGATCCCCTGGTAGAATTGCAAGTTGTGGCTGCCAAGTTCAGAGCTGAAGGGGCTAGTAGGTTTTGTTGCAGTGTAACGTGTCTCTTGCGCGTTGTTCTTTAGTGGTTACCTCAGTCATTTGTGGGACTTGTATCTTGGAGCTTCTTACGTTATCCCACATGTATGCTACAGTGCAATACAAAGACTTTCCATGTCACTTGTAATTTAAACATTTCATGTGATTGCATAGCAAATGCATTCACAGAGGAGTTCGGCTGGCAAGACTTCCTTGGGACGTAGATTTCCACACTGTGGGATGTGTATTTGTGGGAAAGTGCCTAGTAGCTTGGAACAGTTGGATACTTCTTCCTTTCTCATGCTGTTAATCTCAACATGGGAGTACAGGGATTATGCAGTTTATCAGAGGGTGTCTGACAGAGTGGCAATCTGAACTTGGACCTCTGTAATCCTAGTTGAGTGTCTCAGGGGATGGTTATTCTGGTTAAATGTTATTCTAGATTTCTTCAGTCATCAATTTCTGGAGCCAGACTTGCTTACCAGAAAGCAGCTACTTGATCTTTATATTTAGTTTACACAATTTGTCCTTGCCTTTGAAAGCTCTAGCGAGAGATCAGTGCTTATCAGACTTCAAGTATAAAAAAACAAAGTAGGGAGGAGAGGGAATACGTGCCATTTGTACTGCAATTCTGAACTCTCCAGGTTCCTTTTCAATTGCCAGGCATTATGTGGGCAGAGTTCAACTGAAACACAACTGTTAGTGCCAAACCAAATTATATCAAGGCACCTCTAGGCCCAACTTTATTTGACTCTGTGGCTTTTTGAAGGGTTTTTCTTTGATTTAAAGAAGAAATAATGTGGTCCTGTCTATTCTTATAGAAAGACTTGTGATGGGAGTGAGGTGCATTCGATTCAAAGCTGGTCCATGCACAGATGTCAGGTAGCTCTTGCAGTCTGGGGCTTTGGCAGGTAGCAGTAGGGCTAATCTTGGCTGAATGTGGCTGTGGAATGCCAGAATCTCTGATGAGAGACCGGCCTCGGGAACAGGGAAGCCTCCATGGAGGAGACTGCATGCCCTTTAATGCACAAAGCACCAGGTGAAGGAAATAGAAAGGCCAAGGTCTCACTTGGTTTCCAACGGAAGCCTAAGATGGTCTTGGAAAAAGTTGCTGAGTTGAGGACTTGTCAGATGGTGGGAAAGTGTTTGCCTTCTTGCTTCACCTTCAGTAGGCAACAGAACTTGATATATTTGCTGTTCAAGGTGTTTGTGAGGAAGGGGATCTAGAACTGACCTAGTGAAGAGTATGCTGTGTTCAACTATCCATCTGATCTTGCTCTCATAGGCTCTGACAGTAAATTTCCCTCTTCGAGTAATGCAGAGCGGTGGGTGATTTTGGAGGATGACTGTTACTGTATAGAATTACTTCCTCATGGTTACCTTTTCCTTCCCAAGGTATCATTGAAAAAGATGTAACACCTTTGGAGAAAGAAATTGCACGTTTGCATCGAGTGGACTTTGAATTCTCTGACATATTCTACTTCTGCCGGAAAGGGTTTGAGGCCATTGTGGAAGATGAAGTCACCACAAGGTTTTCCTCTGAAGAGCTGGTCTCCTGGAATCTCCTCACGAGGACTAATGTCAACTTCCACTACATCAGCTTGAGGTTGACTGTTGTGTGGGTCATTGGGGTTGTAGTGCGGTACTGCCTCCTGCTGCCCCTACGGTAAGCTCATGGGTGCTGAGGGATTTTTGTCTGTCTGGGAACACACAGATGTGTGTTTTCTTGGGAAACATCATCTCAACTTTTTTAACCCAAAAGCAGCATTAGCAGGTATAGAAGATGAACCTGCTTAAACTCTCCCTTGAGAGAGAGACCATTCAGGAGACTTTTATCTTGCCGTTTGCTGGTGAGAGTAGATTAGGGCTAGTGGTCATCTTTTCTGTGAATGCTTCCCTTAAGTCGTGTACTGGCAATGTAAGTGTAAGTTGGGTGAGCTCTACAACTCCCCGACGCTATATGCATTGGGGTATTTGAATCTGCTGCCTTTGCTAGGCCATGATTATTTTTGTTTTTCAGCAATGTGTTCAGGGGATTACTGAGTTTAAGAACCGGATATGTCAAGTATCTGAAGAATAATTGAATTCCTGCAACCCCTTTTAATTTTAAAAGGGAAAGTGATATTAAAATGAGTAAAACTACTTATTTTAATTTAATGTCTATTTTGTCTACAGCTTTACCCTTGCTGCCATTGGGATTACCTCAATGATTGTGGGGACAACAATAGTAGGACAGCTGCCAAACAGCAGGTGTGTACTATGTGCAGTGTGAGGGATGAGCTTGCCAAGTTGCATCAGTGCAAACAGCTCAAGATTAGGACTGGACAGATTTTACAAGTGATAGACTACTGATAGGCCACTACCCACAAACTTGTGGCCTTGCTTTTAGTGGCTTTTTGAACTTGGGCTGAAGTTGGTTTCTTGCCAGGCTTGGCACTGAGGCTGCTGATTTCTGAGGGAATCCTCCTGCTCTCATGAGAGATTCAAAGGGAACTTTGTAGGGGAGATATCTGTGCTGGGATATAAAATACCCAGTGAGGAGATGACAGCCTTGTCTAGGTAGGTGAGACCAAGGGTATGACATGTCTTTGAGCTGCTGTAGCAAGTGAATGGTAGAGCTGGGAATATACCTCTCCTCCAGCGTATCAGAAAAATTTCAGCCCTGCGTTGTGCTGAGTAGGCTGGAGAATATTGTGTGTGTGTCTAGCTGCCTTCCAGGATGCTCCAGATGCCTATGGTTTCTTTCAGTGTGAAAAACTATTTGAGTGAAGTGGTCCACCTCACATGCTCCCGCATCCTTGTCAGAGCCCTGTCTGGTACTGTCCATTACCATAACAAGTGAGTGAGCTGACGGTATGATAGCAAAACCGTGTGTACACCTTCACCTGTGAGTATCCCATTTGAAATGGGGCAGCTCCTTCCTGACCTGCAGGTTAATGTCACATTAGATGTTTGCTCACCTGAGAGCTTTATGGAACTACTGTGTGTGTAATGTGTTTAGTGTGCTAGTAGTCTAACAAAAATTATGTAATTGCAGGGAAAACAAACCTCAGAAAGGAGGAATTTGTGTTGCCAACCACACATCACCAATAGATGCGATCATTTTGATAAATGATGGATGCTATGCAATGGTATGAGGAGATCCATGCTGACCACAGCAGAAAGAGAGAGACCAAGAAAGGGAAAGATTGTGGGGTATTGATTGTGGGGTTCAATACTTAACTTTCACAGTAGAGATGTTAACTTGAGTACTAGTCAGTGGGGAAAAGTATAAATTGTGTTGAAGTTGGTGTACAATTTTATGTGCTGGTGAAGTTGTCCTGGCAGTGTTAGTGCTAGGCTCTTCATCTGGTGAAATGCTTGAGATACGCTTCCATGCGTGCATCTAGATCCTTAGCTTCTCTGGGCACTGACCAATCCTGGTTTGCAGTCTCCAGAGCGTTTGAGGTTTTTTGAGGGGGGTGCAGAGGAGGGAGTTCTGCTTTTCAGTTGTCTCATATACTGATGTGCGTTACTGGGCTTGCAGGTTGGCCAGGTTCACGGTGGACTAATGGGAGTTATTCAGAGAGCCACAGTCAAGGCCTGTCCTCACATCTGGTTTGAACGCTCAGAAATCAGAGATCGCCATCTCGTGACAAAAAGGTGAGGTGTGGGTTGGAGCAGGGAGTTGCACTGCTAGTGTAACTCTGGGTCCTACTAGTGCCTGAGAGCCCACAGCCGGGTATGTAAACCCTGTAGAGTCACTGAACGATCAAAGACCCAGATGAGGAATTAAAACCTTTGGAAAAACAGAAACCCAGGAAGCCGATGAGGGAACTTGGAACCTTGGGATCTCGAGAGAGCCAAAGGCTGACTTGCAAAAGCATCATCTTTTAGCAGGAGCCATATCTAGTTGTTTTATTCCAAATGCTGACTGCTGTTCAAGGCCAATCACAGGGATGTGAGTAATCTATAATTCAGCATTACTGTAGGCTGGAATGATGCAGGGTATTGCATATCAGTAGATGTAGGTAGGAGTGGAAGTAATCAATATAGTGGTGGCTCAACAGGGGTTCTTGGGGTGAGTTGGAGGGGTGGTTATGCAGCAAACCAGATCACTCGTAACAACCTGAATATGCTTGCTTGTGTGGGCTTCGGTACAGTAGGCTGCAGGCAAAATGTCAGGTTCCCAGGTCACTAAGAAAGGCTTGGAAAGTTTATACAGGATGAAACAGTTCAGACCAAAGGTTCTGGTAAGGTCTTGATTGCAGCAGACCATCACAAAACATCTCATTTGGGTACCTGTCAGCATAATAACTGCTGTCTGAATTCAGATATACATATTGAAAGGATGCGAAGATATTTCACATTCTGGGACTTTCTGTTGAAGAGAAATACTGGCAAAAAAAAATGGCTTTCTGTGAAAAGAACTGTCTCAACTTCATTTGAAATTGTGAGCCACTAGAAATAATAAGCTGTGCTTGTTTGGGTGAGGAGCAAACATACATCTAGTTATAAAGCTGAGCTGCTTACAAAAGCAGTTTTCAGCAGAATGTCACCAAAGGCATACCCATGAACACTGTAGTACAGTAACAGAAATTCTTCCTAATTCTTTGAGAATGTTTAGGTTCATTTTGAAAGGCTAACTTCTTCACCACCTCTTTGGCCTCTGCACAGCAGGACAGCTTTGCCAAGTCATCCAAGTGTTATTCACATAGTGTGAGCTGTAGGCATTTTGGAGTCCTCTCTTTTAAGAAATCTGCTGTGAAGTAAGCAAAGCCTGGATGGGCCACTGCACAAGACACTTTTCTTAGGTAGGCAGTTTCTTGCAGGTTGAGTTGATCAGAGTTAGTTGGACTGACTTAATGACATGCATTTGTTGGCTTCCCTGACAGTCATTAATAAAATAATAGAGAGGAAAGAAAAGAGGATGTTGCCTCAGTATGATGTACCAGAGGCCTAAGGAGTGGCTTGCACAAAGCTTCAGGTTTATCAGAAACAGAAAAGCAAGTATAAATTAGTGTCCAGTAAAAGGCTTCTGTTTCAAACAAATGTGTTGCATGTAAAGGTATTTTTAATGCACCTGCCTTGGTAAAGAAAAGTGGAAAAGAGGTGTTTAAGCTTTCCTTCTGTTTCCACAGACTCAGGGAACATGTGACAGATAAAAGCAAGCTCCCGATCTTAATTTTTCCGGAAGGTAAGAAGCTGAACTGCTCCTCATCTCCGTTCAGTCTAGATGTCATCCATGTTGTCTTTTCATGGCTTCTGGAGCTCAAATGTATTTTCATCTCTGTCTTAGATTTTCTTCCTATTTTTAATCTTTAATATGAGATTACACAAAGACAATACAATGCTGTCCCTGGCTGTTGGGTCTTCTGGCAGAAGCTGTAGGCAGAAGAATGGGAAGATTGTTTCTTTTGCCTGTGAATATCAATTCACTGTCCTACAGATCTAAGCTCATCCTTGTGCCTTTTGTCTCACACATGTTCTGACTTCATTCAGGGAGTCAGTCACAAGACAAAGAATGACAGCAAATGGGAGAGATGCTTAACTTGCTTGTAGAGGGTCTGCATTTACTCCTCAGTGAGTGTCAAGACCTGTATGTTGAGGTAGTGCCACTACTGAAATGCGGTAGGCTGTGTGAAAAAATTACTTCAGTTTCTCTTCTGGACAGGCACCTGCATAAACAATACATCTGTGATGATGTTCAAGAAGGGGAGCTTTGAAATAGGAGGGACAATATATCCTGTTGCAATCAAAGTAAGTGGAGATAGCTGGCTGCTGAATTTCAAAATTTGGGATCTGTGTGTGTCAAGGGGGTAGGAAGCTGTCTCTCTCCTGATGAAAGCATAGTAGCTCTGGCAGTTGGTGACATGCCGTGGATGACTCCTAGAGTATAAGTGGCTCAAATGAGAAAGAGAAGTCTTTCTGCCCATGGAGCCTGGCTGGCAGGACCTGGTAGAGTCAGCTTCTTCCATTAGAGCTGGAAGGAAGGGAGAGCCAGCTAGCCCTTCCCAGTGCTGAAGGGAAGAGAGGCATGTAGCTTGCAGCAGACTTAGCTTTTTTTGGCTGTTCAGGCAAATGAGTGACATCTGCTGCTGTTTCTGTCATGTCATCCCAAGCAGCACTAATAAGCACCAGGTAATTTTCTAAAGCCTCATTCTAAGCAGACATGTCAGTTGTGAATTTTCTCTTACTCTGGCACATGACTGGAAGCATCCACTGCAGGTCTGAGGCTGTAACGGTCTGTGGGGAAAGCACGGCCAGGAGGTTGAGGGAGGTCCACCCCTCTACTCTGCTCTTGTGAGACCCCACCTGCAGTGCTGCATCCAGCTGTGGGACCCCCAACATAAGAAGGACGTTGACCAATTGGAGCGAGTCCAGAGGAGGCCACGAAGATGCTCAGAGGGCTGGAGCACCTCTCTTATGGGGACAGGCTGAGAGAATTGGGCTTGTTCAGCCTGGAGCAGAGAAGGCTCCGGGGAGACCTTATTGCACCTTCCAGTTCCTGCACGGGCCTACAAGCAAGCTGGGAGGGGGCTTTTTACAAGGGCCTGTAGTGACAGGACAAGGGGGAATGGGTTTAAATTGGAAGAGAGTATATTTAGATTAGATACAAGGAAGAAACTCTTCATGGTGAGGGTGGATTGGAACTAGATGATCTTTAAGGTCCCTTCCAACCCCAACCATTCTATCATTCTATGATTCTATGTAGAGACTTTATCATTTGTTACTTTGTGATCCCATACAGTATGATCCTCAGTTTGGAGATGCATTCTGGAACAGCAGCAAATACAACATCGTGAGCTATCTGCTGCGAATAATGACCAGCTGGGCCATTGTTTGCAATGTGTGGTACATGCCACCAATGGTTAGAAAGGTAATCTAATATGTAGTTGATTGCTATTCAGGAACCTGACTGCATCTGCACGTGCCTCTTTTTACTCTTTTTCTCCCAAAACCCCTCCCACCCCATCTCTTCAAACCAGAGTTTCATAATGAACTTTTGTGTTAACTTTGTATGACTGGGTTCAGCCTTTCCTGGTGCGGTTTGGTACTGTCAGTAGTGCATCAAATATGCAAAGGATAGCAGTAAAGGTAGGGCTGTTCACAGCAGTAATGCTGTCAATTTTCCATCCTGTTGGAGCAAATTTTCCTCTAATTTCAACACTTCATGGAAAAAATGAGCTAAATCATTATCGTGTTGGATCATCAGATTTTGTTGGCATGATAAGGGATGGATTGTTTGGCAGTGAGCTAATTCGATAAGGCAGCAGATGAAAAGTGTTATGGCAGTCTGTTTCAATTCACTTCTCTCTGCTTTGATTATTTTGAATTTATGACCCTTGAAGGAAGGTGAAGATGCTGTCCAGTTTGCCAACAGAGTGAAGTCAGCCATTGCTCGCCAAGGAGGACTGACTGAACTTCCTTGGTGAGTGATGCCATCCTTCTTAAACTTCATGGTCTATCTGTTGTTAGTTCGATGGAGTGGTGCTTCCTCCCTTAACTTGCGACAGATGACATTCAACATGACTTTATTCCATTCAGGAGAAAATGAGGGATTAACTTCACAGGCACATATGTGTAGGTAAAAATAAAAGATGCTTAAAGTCTTGAGCATGTAGTGCTAATGCAGTGAGTTTGACCTAAAAGTTTGATGCTTGAAGAGGGACCCCTTTACAGTTGTTGCGCATGTTGAGATGAAGGGAAGTTACTTGGCAAAACAGATGAACAGTAAAATACAGGGCTTGAGGCTTTCTGCTCTTTCTCATGTCCTACCTCAGTAAGTAGTAGCTTAATGCCTAGATTTCATAGGGCTTTGTGAAAAAACTGGAGAGCAACATACTAATGAAGAGAGCAGGCAGATGATTCAACTATGAGACCCAGCTGGCCCTTGGAATGATGTAAGGCAAGAGACAACTATGGTGTTGCACAAGATTGTCTGCCTTTACAGTCTAGGGAAATAGCATCCCAGACTGGCAGAGACTTTGATGGTAGGTGTAACCTGTTACCAGCACGAGTAAGCTTCTTTAATGGGCTAAACTCAAAATATGGACTGCATGAGCATTATGGCTGAAGACAAGTGTTTTATTAAATGTTCTTTAACTTGAACGTTCTGAAGAAAAGCGTTTTTAATAACTTTCTAGGTGAAGACTCCAGAGTTGCCTAAGATAGGTAATATAATACATAGTTTGATAGGAATAGTGGTAACAATCATGATGGGTTACTTTTTTTCTCTTGCTCTGTTCCAGGGATGGAGGTCTGAAACGAGCAAGAGTCAAAGATACTTTCAAAGAAGAGCAGCAGAAAAACTACAGCAAGATGCTAGTGAGAAATGGATCAATAGAAAATTTGTCTGCAGGAGCAGAGTCAGACTGAATGGTGGTTCTTGAAAACTAATTTTGCACAACCAGCCTTAGCAGGAATAATGTGTGTTAAACGAAAAAAAAAAAAACCAACCAAAAACCAACCCCCAAAAAACTGGAGCAACAAAACCCCTCACCATGTATATGCATATTCTCTCTATGGCTGGTGCAGAGCCTTTCAAAAGCCAGTGTCTCTGCATCTCTCCCTCCTTTTTCACTCTTCTCACTCCGCTGACCCTCCCTGTCTTCATGTGATGATGCACTGCAGCTCCTGATATTCTCGAGCTGAACATGTGGAGAGTTGAGACAAAAAGAAAACAGCACCGTGGTTTTTCTGAGTTCGTAAGAATGAAGGGAAGTACGCTGAACAGATGCTGTCAGGACACTCGTTTTGAAGATACCTCTTGTTTGTGGTACTTCAGAGCTTTAAACATAACAAAGTTTTGTCTTCTCGTGTTGCTTACATACTTTTAGTTGTAGATGACTTAAATAACGTGTTCTGTCAGAACTGTAAGATAGACTCTTTTGGTTGTGCAAGGGGGGAAGGGAAGCAGGGGCTGCAGACCCTAAAGTGTGGAAAGGAGCTGCCCTGCTAAAAGCACGGTTCATGGACCATGTGGTTTTGGTGGCCTTATAACATGGTATTGCCTTTATTGAGAACTGCTACCTGAGGGAAGACACTGGTCAAGCCCTCAGTCTCCCTGTCCACTGCTACTGTTGAAATTGCTTTCTTGATGTGGAGCTGTAAAGGTAAGATACAGTAAGCAGCTGGATAACGTAGGCTATGACAGATGTATTTTTATGAAGTGTTTTTTTTTTTTCAAGACTACCCTTCTGCAAAAATTGCTGCTAATGGCTTAAAGATCTGAAGGGAGACACTCCAGAAACACATTTTGTGTTTAACTGGGCTAGCTATCACAACTGTAAACACAGGAGCCGTAAGTCACCTATGATACAAGACGTGGCACGTTCAAATCTGCAGTACATTGCTGTCTGTGAAGAGAAATAAATTCTATATTTCTAATGGGTCTTGTGTGGCTTTTTATACTCTTCTCTAAATGTGGACAAATAAAACAATTCTACTTCCTGAAAACTTAAGGTCATAAACTTCAGTCCTTGTGACATAAAGGACCAGTTGAAGTTGAGCTCATACGTGCTTTCTAACCTGACTTTTCCTTTTTTTTTTTTTTACACCCCCTTAGACTCTAAGGAACGTACACGGCTTAGTGTTCATCATTTCTAGAGTAGGAGCGACTCGTCGTGCAGACTGAACTTGAAATTACAACATGAAGTCACATCAGGGAGAATCAATTAATGAATCTTATAATTAACTGGAAAACAATTATGAGCTTACAGATTTGTAGCAGAGTTTGTTTGTAAGTAGTCTTTTCTTGTAGTAAAGATATTTTCAATTTAATCCTGAAAAAAAAATTACTGTTCCACAGGTCATTATCAGGTTTAAAAAATCTATTAGAACATAGTTTGCAAAAAAAGGATTCCTGATCTCTCTCCCATTATCCCTCAGTCCATGCATTTACACAAGGGCAAATATATTTATTCTTTGAATACTATATAGGCATGCAGCATATTGTACTTTCTTTTGGCAATCTGGTTGTGAAGCCTGTTGGAGGTATGTGACCCTGGAAGAAAACATTGGGAAGGGGCTCTTGGAGAAATGCTGTCAAGTTTAGCATGACAGGCCTTTAAGAACAAAGTTGTTGATATCGAAAGTGTTAGGAGTAGCAAGACAAGTGAGGCACAGCAGGGGTGTTTTTCTTGATGTGAACCTAGTTCAACCTTGAACTGAGTTAAATTATTGCTACTAAGATGAACTGGTCACGCAAGATATGGGTTAATTAATGTGTTTATTGTAATTTATGGACATTAGCTGTGAACTTGATCTTTCCTGGATTGTAATCATGGTAGGAAGCTTTGTAAATACAACTTACCTTTTTTAGCACATGCATGTGTGCACGTGCGTACACATGTAAAATACAACTTAGGTAACACATTTAAAAGTTTCACATAAATACTGGGGTGTGTATATGTTTATTCTAAGATATCAATTGTGACGTATTCCTCGGTGGAACAAGAATTGTTTTGGTGAAGGGTTTAGATATGATTCTGAAGAGAATCAGTTTATGGGCCAGTACCCCTCTGCTTTTTTCCAGCTTTTGGAGTTCATCATCAGTAACTTAACTGCTGTGGTTTTTGAAATCTTAACTGGGCTCACTGGGATGCCCTGTTAGGTGCATGTTTCCCAAAGCTCAGAGTCTTGTTGCTGTAAACATGTTGAAGGCTGCACTTCACTTCTTGCTTAGGGCAAAACTGGATTTTAAGGCAAAAAGCCCTGCTAAGTCAAAGGGTGATGACAACGGGGTAATACGATGACACTGTAAGTGTTTTCTGGCAAGCCAAATGAAGTTTTGGGACTCCAGAACTGTGACTTCATGAGATCTAGAAATATCCTCTACTGAATGCTGCCTTAAACAAAACTACCTTATTTTGGAGAGAATTTGTCCAGAAAGCTTATAGATTAGCTGTATGAGTGACACCAAGAACTGCACAAGTAGAGTATTTCTTTATGGCCATGAGAAGAGGCATCACAATTCTTAATTGGTGCATGAGTAGAGAAGATACTAAGCGAATGAGTAAGTTGATGAGGTTTCTTGAGCATGCAGTTGCTCATAGATCTTTACTTATCAAAATGTTGTCTTGCTTGTTCTTTTGACTCCATCCCTGGCAGGACTTGATAGGGTTTTGGCACTGTATCCCTGGGCTTCTCATAGATCTCTGGAAATGTTGTGTTCAGGGAGGCTGTGAGAGCAGTGGTGAGTACTAATAGATGGTTCTGACTGTATCCCAGATTTGTGACAGACATGAGATCCACATTCGTTCATTGGTTTAGAAACGAGTCTGTTAACTTTCGAGAAGCATTTTTAAAGGGCAGAAATGTATACCACAATGCCTTGCAGCAGAAGGACAGTGAATAGAAGATACTGCTTGGCTTAATGCCAGTTAAGCTACTCTCTTCTTCCTACTGGTTCTGAAAAGCTTTTTGTACATTCTTGTTTTTTCCCTGACAAATCTGGGAAATGGTGCAGCTGAATTGGGTTGGATCAGTAGAGACAGCCCAATTAATCCATGCAACAGTTGAAGTGCATGTCGTAGTTCCTATTGCGGGGTGCACAGAGCATTGATTCTTATTTAAGGATCTAAGTACATATTTTTGTTTAGATTTGGAGGAAGACCTATGAATTTAGAGAAGTGGTGGTGCCTTTCAAGCTCTGATAAAACTTATGTTCCTCGCTGGCTTTGTACCAAAAGGAAAAAAAGGTAGTTGGTTTTAAGATGGTGATGGCATCAGATTCAAATGTTGTTAATTCTTTTCTTATTGCTGAAACCTACATGCTATTTCTGCCCTGAGCACAGTGGGTATGGCCAAGGGTTCTGTTTGTATCCTGTTAAGTTGCTCTGCCTCTAATACATTAAACATAAGCAGGCTGTCATAGAAAAGTCATGCTTGACACAGAGGCTACTGAAAATTGAGAGTCCTTGGAAATTTGTTATGAAAAACTCAGTATTGCTTTTGGAAGCTCCTGGGCCAAAACCTAAATTATGTTTTACTCAGAGATTTAAGGTACTTTAAAATGTCCTTGTCCTATCCACTACTGAACAGATTGATAGAGGTTGCTGGTGAAGATTTAGGTTGGAAGGGACCTTAAAGATCATGTAGTTCGAACTCACCCTCACCATGAAGAATTTCTTTGTTATATCTAAATCTACCCTCTTTCAGTTTAAAGTCATCACCCCTTGTCCTGTCACTATCTGCCCTTGAGAAAGACACACCCCCTCCAGCTTCTTTGTAGTCTCCCTTCAGGAACTCTAAGGCTGCTTTAAAGTCTCCCTGGAGCCTTCTCTCACCCAACTCTCTCAGCCTGTCCCCACAGGAGAGGTGTTCCAGCCCTCTGAGCATCTTTGTAGTCTCCTCTGGACTTGTTCCAACCAGTCTATATCCTTTATACATTGACGGCTCCACAGCTGGACGCAGTATTTCCAGTGGGGTCGCTCGAGAGCAGAGTAGAGGGGGAGAATCCCCTCCCTCGACCTGCTGGCCACACTTCTCCTGATGCAGCCCAGGATACAGTTGGCTTTCTGGGCTGCCAGCGCACACTGCCAGCTCATGTTCAGCTTTTCATCCATCAGTACCCCAAGTCCTTCTCCTCAGGGCAGCTCTCTGTCCACTCTCCACCGAGCCTGTACTTGTATTTGGGATTGCCCCGACCCAGGTGCAGGACCGTGCACTTGGCCTTGTTGACCTCCATGAGGTTGGCAGTGGCCCACCTCTCCAGCCTGTCCAGGTCCCTCTGGAGGGCATCCCTTCCCTCCAGCGTGTCAACCGTGCCACACAGCTTGGCGTCACTGGCAAACTTGCTGAGGGTGCACTCAATTCCACTGTCTGTGACTGATAAACATATTAAACAGTACTGGGACCAGTACAGACCCCTGAGGGCCACCACTGGGAGCATGGATGTAGGCCAGTATGAGCTGCAAGACATGGATCTTGACTCAGCTGTGTGTGAGCCTATGCAGCTGGACTAGGAAGCTGTTAAGAAGTCTTGAGGATTTTTAATATTGATTTGGATGACAAACTAGCTGTTCAAGCCTAACAGTGAAGGTGATCTCTTGATTTTGTCACAGCTGTGCTTTTTGGCACTGCTGCTCCTGAAGAATGTGTCTGCCATTACCAGCTCTGATGTGTTCCCATACAGAATAGTTATTTTGTTTCCCTGAAATGAACATAATAAACAAGGCAGAAATGTGACCTCAGGAGTCAGAATAGAGACTCCAATGATTGTTCAATGTCTCCATCTCTTTATTAGATTTTCTGAGGCTGTTTTTTCCCCTGATTTGCTGGGTAAAATCCATACAAATGAAATACAAGCACAGTCAGTAAATAATAATGAAAAGGTAAATTCATTTTACTGAGAAGCCAGTGCATGTTAAGACATCATCTGGAATGATGTGTGGGTTTGTGTTTGCCTTTTTTTTTTTGTACAGATCACAAAGCTATTACAGTCTTTCAAAA